GTGAACAAGTGAACAGAAAGGGCTTTGACAGTTTACTTAAAAAGTCGGATTAAAGCAAAACTATGTTATATAAATACCAGCGGGCGTGCTGGAGCTTGCATCACTCCATCTCCATCCCGGCCGCTGCGACAGCCAGAGCCAGGGCTGGGTTTGTTACCTGCTGCTGTCTGTGCCGTGGCCCTGCGGCTAAAGCCACCTGCAGGGAAAGGAGCCATGCAGTCCTGCGCCCGCGGCTACGGGCGCTGCGGGGAAGAGTTATTGCCTCATGATGGAGCAATACGGCAACCGCAGGGGGAAGCAGCTCCCCTCCTTCCTAAGGCCATGAAGCTCCATGTGCAGAGCCTGCCGGGACAAACACCCTCTCACTGACAGCTGTGTGGGACTGGCATGGAGGAGCTGCAGCCATGCGGGTGACCAGAGGTCACCATCTCTGGAAAACACCACAGTCTCTAATGCATGTTGTACCCCCTGGATGACTTGAAGTCGGTGTTTCAGAGGACTCTCACTGCAAAAATTTCCTGTTTTTCAGGAAATTGCTCAATCACTTGTCCACTTGTAAGAGATGAAGCCAGGGAGCCTTTAGCAGCAGTGAAGAGAAGCATGTAGAGGCTGAGAAAGGTAAAGGGAGCTCAGCCTTGCCTTGGGTGGGAGCAGGGTGGCTCCTGTCCTTTGCTGTCAACAGCTGCAGTTCCTGGGGACATCTGTGAGTCACAGAAACTCCTGGCACTCTCCACAACAGAGAACAAGAGTATGGGAGTAGATAAAAATGCATATATACATATACACACGTAGGGACCTTATTTCATGCAGGCCATGAAGAAAACCCATCAATTTTAGTGCATTTTTATTGTGGCTTTTGGATCATGAGAGCCTAGGAAGTCAATGTGAGGTGGGAAGTTGGGCGCTGCCCTGTTGCCTGTAGCTTCCAGCTGTCCTCCACTCTCAGGACACAAGCAGTTCTAATGTCCTCCCTCTGGCCTCTCCTTGCAGGATGTTTTCCTGTCTCACTTCCCATCCTTGGGCAAGGGACCCTTTGCCACCAGGAAGGCAGCCACAAGGTTTCTCCTCACTCCATTCCCACTGGGAATGGACGTGGGCAGATGCATTTTCAATCTCTCCCTGTAGGCCTCTCATTTTCACCAATTTGGCTTCTCTGGTCTAAGAAATTCAGGGTTTCCCCTGTTGCTCTTGCCTCTATCCTTCCCTGGCTGGTAGGATGCAGAGAGAGAAAAAGCAACCAGGCATGGCTCAGCACAGCAGCCACATCCAAACCACATCTTGCCTGTGGCTACCACTTTCCTGAAAGTTGCAATCCTTGGTTGTTGCCTGCAAGAGGTTTTAAGGGGAAAAGTGTTGCTGAAGTTACAGAGCTGCTGAGGCAGAGAAACCACAAAGCTCACAAAGGTACCCCTCATCCTTGAAAAGAGCAGAAAGACATTGCAGAACACCACCTGTATGTGGTGATCAACAGTGTCCTGATTTAGACTGGGACAGACTCTGGGAAGAGTAGTTTTCTTCCTAGCAGCCAGTGCAGTGCTGTGTGTTGGATTTAGTATGAGAATAATGCTGGTTACATAGCAGTGCTCTACTTCTTTCTAAACAGTGCTTACTTTAACTCAAGGACTTTTCAGTTCCCTATGCTCTGCTCTTCCTTCTTGTGAGGAGCTACACAAGAAGCTGGGAAGAAGCATGGCCAGTAGAGCTGATCCAAAGGGATCAGCATGGCCAAAGGGATATACCGTATCATAGGACATCATCCCCAGTATATAGAGTGGTGGAGTTACCTGGAAGGAGCCAATCACTGCTCAGGGACAGACTGGGCACCAATCAGCTAAATGGTGAGAAATTATATCATGCATCACTTGTTTCTCCTGTGTTTCCTTTCTTTTTGTAGTTTCCCTTTTCATTATGAGTATTATTTTGTTATTCTTATATTTTACTTTAATCAAATTATTAAGCTGTTCCTGTCTCAACCTATGGTTTTGCTTTTTCTCCCCGATTCTCCTCCCCATCACACCAGGAGATGTGTGAGTAAGCAGCTGCCTGGTACTTAGTTGTCAGCTGGGGTTAAACCACAGCTTGAGCCTGGATGTGTTGCCGGGGCAGTAAAGAGGACAAGAGACTGTGTAATAGGTGATCTAGTCTCGTTTTGGCTTGGAAATCAAGCCTATGGTAGTTTTATCTTATCTTTTTATTGACTAGATTATCATAGCTGCTGTTATTCTTTAACTTGAAGGAAACTCACAGCGAACACTTGCCACCTTTTAGCAGTAGTTTTGAATAACATTGAGCTTAACATTGCTGCAAACAGCCTTGCAGGGCTGGAGAATTTAACTGCTGATTCTGTCTGAATGCTAGAATTACTTGGATGAGAAAAATGAGGTGTGTGAGAAGAAGCTCAAAGTGATTAACAAACTGTTCAGGCCAACAGCCTGGCTGGTGAAAAGCCCTGCCTAAGGCAGTGTCAGTGGGGACCATTTCCCTGTTGACATGGAGTTGTCTTTGTTTTCTTCTTTGTTGATAAAGCAAAGGATTTACTGGCCAGGCTGCCAAGGCCAGGCCACTGGAAACAAGCCGGCTCAAACTATCTGGTCCAGAGGACCACATATACATTGTGTACTACAAGCTAAGCAACCTGAGTTTTCCATCCTCTACCAACCCTTGAAGCTGGTCCTGGCATAGCACCTCTAGCAAAGCTCTCCCTCCCTCCTTGCACATATTCACTATGAGCCAGAGCAGCTGGAGATTAACTTGGAGTTCAGCAGGCAGGCACAAACATCTTGGGGAAAGGAGCAACTGTGTTAGGGCTTGATGCAAGTGTAAAGTCAACAAAAATGAATGGAAAACCTCCGCTTGCCTGGAATCAGGCGCCTTGGACAAGACTGTGAGGACAGAGGCACTGTGCCTGACCCTTGGGGAAACCTTGGCATTGGGTTCAAAACATGCATGGGGAAGAGACATGGGCTTAGCTGAGCGTTATTCCCTTTGGGAAGGCACTGACTGACACGTCCTCTTAAAATAGAAACAAGGAACATTAAGAGCTGAGAAAACTACTGTTAAATAGACAGGCTTGGGTAGGAGAGAGCAAATGCTTGACAGATCAGAGGAGGATTCAAAAAAGGATTCAAAAGGGAAAACAAACTTCATCCTCACTGGAGAAACATTTTCCCAGCTGACACAGAAAAAACAACTACTGCTGAGGAATTACCCATTGCTTCAGCTCCCTTCAGTCGGGAAAGACCAACATCACATTCAGGTGGCATGAAAATTGCTGTGCAACCCCTCTTTAACCACTACACAAATACACTGCTGGCACTGCTTCGTGCTTGCAGCTCCTGTTATAAACACCGCTGTGGGAATCCCTGAAGCCTTCCCCAGCAGTTGGGAAACAGGGAGCTGAATTAAAAACCTGTCACAGAAAATATCCTCCGAGTCCTGTCCTGTGATGGAAACCTTGCAGGCTGCTTGAGGAATCTCAAGCTGTCCACAAACCCCTCCTCCTACTGTCCACCTGTTACACTGTTCTGAAGGATTCCCACAGGGCACCAAGTACATGGGTCTTCAGCATTTATCTCAAATAAACAGTTGTGACTTTCACATAATGCACCCTAAAGTGTGCTGGCACTTTAACAGCTAAGTGACACTTTATCTCTGCTTTTCCCTAGAAGGAAGCAATAAAATAACTATTTTATACTCCCCCTTAATTACACAATGCAAAGTCACTGTGTTTTTTCCTGTTCTGTAGGATGGTAAGGCAAGAACGTTGATTATTGTTGGGCATGTGACGCTATTTCCCTACTTTTCTTGCTTGTGCAGGAAAATGTAGAGTCTTTACTAGAAGTGTTTACTGAGCAGGAACACTGAAACTGCAGGGGAAATTTCCCAGCCTGAAATCCGAGGAGGTCAGGAGCAGCACAGCCTCTGTGATCTCCAGAATAAAATGAAATGCCAGTTTTTATTGATTGTAACTGACCAACAGTTCTTTACCAGATTACATTCAAGTGACATCACCTCTAGCAGTGTGCCAGCAGTGAGATCAGCCCAGCCTGAATAGGAGGCACCCACCTCAAGAGACCAGCAGCACCTTGTGCTGTGGCCCAGGCTCCAGGGTGACAGAAGCAGGTGGGAGCAGTTATGCCAGCCAGCAACACTGCAGTTGCAGCAGGACTTGGATCACCACTCCCCTGGTTCCTTCAAAGGTCATAAATCATTACTGCAGAGGTGCAGAAAAAAAATTACCTGACTGCTCATATACCAGGGAGGTAAAATGGAGCAATGCCAAAGTAGATTTAAGATTGACTGAAGAAAACAGAAGCTGTGGCAAAAAAAAAAAAAAAAAAAAAAAAAAAAAAAAAAAAAAAGGCATGTACATAGCTATTAAGCATTTACAATGTTCTCATGCAGCTTAGATAAGCAAGCTGAAATTAAACAGTACAGTAATCATCAGTGCTTACTCTGTGCTGTACTCTGCCTGCAAACACAGGAGGAGGCTGGGAGCACCAGGTTGACAGGAAACAGGTGTATGTGAGAAGGAGGAGGAAGAGGTTGGAAGGGTTGAAGGCTGCTCAGATAGAAGCCCACAAAAGGCACCCTTAGTCCAAAGGTCAGGGCAATTCAAGTCAAAAGGCTGCCTTCTGGCAGGGCTCACCCATGTGACCACATTTAATTATTCACAACAAGCAGAGGGAGGCTCTCGGGCTCCAGAGACAGGGGAGGAGTAAGAAAAGCACCAGGGGAGTGAGCACAGTTCAGGTTCTTTGTGTGCAGTGAGCAGCTGTTCATCTGTGTGTGGGAGGTGAGTCCTCTCTCTGGCCCCCTGGATCCAGCAGCACACAAAGGGGGTCCTATAGGCAGCACTGAAAGCCCCATGGAAGGAATCCTCTATTTTGTTTTCAGCACATTGCCTTTTACTAGGGATCGAATCACAACCTGCACTTTCCCAGCCCATCATTAGAAACTGTGCTGCTGATACTCCCAACTCACCTCTCCGGACAGACAAATTGGTGGAATCAAGTTTTATTCTCCCGGCTAGACAGCAGTGACAGATAAATGTTCCCTACTGCTGCAGACATACAAAAGGAGATCTATAAAATACTTCTCCATATTTTCTCTTATAAAATTATAATGGGAACCCATGGATTTGTGAAGGAGTTGTACCTGTCCCAGCAACACAAGGACAAAGGAAGAGACAGGTTTCACAGACAAGACAGTGGCATTCTCAGCTTTAAACGAACCCACCCAGGGCAGGTATGTACCATCATCTTGCAGGGAGCAGCTGCCCTATGCTCTGGGCTATCTGATGTGAGGCAGAGACAAAAGCATTCCTCCTCTTAAGTCAGCAGCAGCAGCTCTGCACGTCAGCTCTTGGCTGATAAACATAGCCTCCTAATTCCAGCTACATTCCCTGTTTTGAGAATAAGCAGCCCTGCTCCACAGAGCCCTTTGCAACTACTGCTGCTCATGAGAAGGGGGAGAAGGAGGGAAGAGTTACAACATTTTCCATCTCCTAAATCACCAAAACAGAAGAAACCCGCAGGTTGTACAGAGCAGGCAATTGACCTGCCCTCAGCTCTCCCAGGCAAGGAATGCACAACATAGATGTGTCCAGAGGCAGAGGTACAGCCACCCGTTTACTTCAGGCTCCAATGAGTTTCTTGAGGAATGCCTCGAGCTGATCCTCGTCCTTTACGCCCACAAATTTATCCACAACATCTCCATTCTTCATAGCCAGCACAGTTGGCACTGCTGACACCTGGGGCAAGAGAAACAGGGAGAAGGGTGAGCAAAGCCTGCAGGAAGCCATCTGCACCTGGTTTCCCAGTGGAAGTCTAAGGAAGTGGCTACAAGGGAGCTGAGCATGCACTGCTCTAGGGTAAGATGTCCTCTTGCTAAACAGGCCAACTGAGCTCCATGTTCCCCCTCTCCGCACTGACTTACACCACTTGACTTGAGATAAGGCTGAGCTGCTTTTTGAGTTTAAATAAGACCCAAACTTTTAAAGACAAAACCACAGCTAATACAAAAACCTTATCCAGTACAAATGCTTCTTCTCCTTCCCTTTTGTCCTACCATAAACGAACACACCTAGGACACAGACATAATGACCTTTGGACATTTTATGGCCAGGGTAGCATCAGACTGGACCCTTGTTCTTCTCCAGACAGGACTGGAGCTCTAATCCTAACCCATCCCACCATTGCACAGGCAGATTTCCTGCTCATATTATAGCAATGTCAATCTCCTCCAAGCCTTCTTCTTTTCCCCACTTTTGTTTTCAGTTATTTATCTGGTCACAAACCAGTGGTCATTCAGTGCAGAGCCCCGATGATTAAGTATGAAATGAAATAGTCCCTCTGAACAGAGCTAGCAGGCAGCTGTGCTTCTCTGGGCACTGCTTTTTTAGCTCAGAACAAAGTTTGCTGGGAATTATCCAAGAGACCAGTGTTGGAAATGACAACACTCCCCAGGGACTTGCTGGTTGACTGGTGACAGCAGAAACCCCAAGGGACATGACTGAAAGAAGGAACAACCAGAGCTTGGAGAGCTGCAGCAATGGAAGATCTGATCACATTTCTGACCACACAGCTTATCTCTGCAAAGTCTCCCCCCAAAAAACACCTTCTGTCCTTAGCTGACTCTCCTCCAGCCTGTGAGGCCTTCCCATGTGCACTGCCAGCCCTGCTGCCAACAACGATCTGTAAATCCCCCTGGAAACCCATCAGAGGGTTGGCTTTTCTTCCACTGGGAGCCTGAGATGACGGGGACATTTTGTCTTCCCTTCCCACCCAGTTCCAGCTGGGCAGTCCAGCGTAGCTCCTCACAGTGTCCTTCAAGGCTTGTGCAGTCTCATGTGAAGGGATGGGAGCGTTGGGGCTGCTCAATGCACAATCTTCAGCTCCTCCTAGTGACTGCAGGGAGCAGATCCAGAGGGCTTGGGCCCCAGCACCAGTGATGGTGGCTATACATTCCCTTGCGATTTTAGCAGAGAGAAATGATGCCTTGCACTCAGCTGCTCTGTCCCTGAAAAGGGCTAACCTCCAGTGAGCCTCCCTCTGGTTTTCACAGTGGGTTAGTATCGAGCAGAGTTGCTCCAGTCCCATCCAAAAAAACAGGAGCTGGCCCCTAGCTGGCTGGGGCCCTAGCTGGCTGAGGAACAGGCAACTCTTGGAAGCTCTATGGAGAAGCAGCCAACACCATGCCAGGCCCTGCAGGCTGACGAGGGCACCCATGAGTTTCACATGGCTTTGATTTCTCTGTCTCTTTCCCTTTTTGTGCAGGTGAGAAAATCCAAAGAAAGAGTGGAAGGTCTAGGGCTGGTGCTGCAGAGCTAGATTAGAATGGGGGGCACAAGGTAACTTTGCTCAGAAAACACGATGTTTTTGTCAGCTTCCTTCCTGCCAGCTGCAGCAAAGGCAGCCTGTTAATGGAGCACGTACTTTGTTTTGCTGGCTGAGAAGCAAATATCATGGGAATTTCTAGAATGCAAAGTTGAGGGCACTTTTTCTTTTTTTGGGTCCCATCTGCACTGAACCTAAACAAACTTTACTCCTCCCTGAAGAGCATTTCTACAGAAAAAAAATCAGTCTGCTTTTGATGAGTGTTGACCACACAGATAAATAAACAAACATGGCCATCCAGGTTATTCCTGGCAACACCCGTACCAAGGGAATTCTCTCCCATCTGAAACTTTTATACAAGCTCAGATGCCACACAACAGAGCAGGGGGAAGGATTTCACCCAGGCCTCTGAGTGAGGAGGTAACAGGATGGAGCTCCACTGATGAAAGCTCTCCTGAGCTGCCCACCCACAGTGGCCAGAGAAGGGGCTGCCCTTTCCTGGTCACCACACACAGAGGCAACTGGCTAAGGCAAGAGATGAATCTAAAGAATTTTAAGAGACTGCAGATAAACAAAAGTATTTCTTCTCCCTTTCTGCTCTTGAGGCAAGAGGTCAGGAGCTGGCTGGAGCAGTGGAGAAAGGCCACAAGCAGAGATGAAAGGTATTAGATAAAATGGAGTCCCCAGAGACAGCACTTTTGTGCTGGGCATAACAGGACAGGGAAGGGTACAGGGGACATTCCTAGTTGCAGGAAATGCATCCGTGCTTTGTGTTAAGTTGGAATGGCTAAGAGCCAAGGGCTTGTATAAAGGAATGTGCCAGCATTCCTCAGCTCTTCGAGGGGGTCTCCCCCTCCTGCTGCCTCCCTCTGCACCAAGGAGGCTGCCGAAGAGGACATTGTGCAAGCAGGCAGCAAGCTGGGGGCTGCGTGTGTGCGTGGGCAGGGGAATAAACATGGATGGAGTGAGACTTCCTGGCAGTTAGTGAAGGAGTTTTGGGTCGGCATGGACACTGAAAGCCCCCAAACAAAGACTTCCTCAGCATGCAGACATCGGATCCCCGAAAGAATGGCTTTAAAACAAATATTTTCTGATCCTCTCTAAACACCACCTGTGGTTTTCCTGATCTCTCACAAACACTCTGGTCCCTCTTTGATCTCAACTTGGTGCCTTCCCATCAGCCCTTACATTTCTCCTTACATGGCAACTTCCCAGAAGATGAAGCAAAACTAAGCACATGCTCAGCACATGAATAAAACTTCTGCCTCAGAAAGGATGCTCCAAACGACAAAGATCTGAGCAGAAAATTCTCCTATCCCCCTACCTGTTTGCAGCTATGGTACTTGCAGACAGTCTAAGGACAGTGTTTTAGCCACGGGGATAATGACCAAGACAAGACACACATGCATCACTTCAAAAGTGGAGGATGGCCTCTCACAAAACAAAAACTTCATCATGTTTGTGTATAAGGTTCCCAAATGAACTGCTAGAAGCTGACCCATCTCTGCAGCCTCAGTCCTTCCTGCACACAAACAGACACACAGCAGACAGTGCTGCCTCAGTACCCGTGGGGAGAGGATGCAGAACGTCATCAAACCTGCATAACTTGTGACTTTCAGCCTCTTTTCACAGACCTTTCTCTGTATGCACACACCCTGCTTGTCGTTTTCCACTCCCGAGATTATCCTCTGGTAATCCCAGCTCATTCTATCTACTGGAAGGCTTGGAACAATATGTGAGTTGAGCTAATAATCTCTATTCTCTTCTCCTTAGTATGGTTGCTACCAGAGCTTTCCCTGCATCTATTAGGATTTACAAACTCTGAGATCATCACTAAAACCATCTCATCCTCTTCAACTTCTCACCAGCACCCTCTGAGCTACACAGCCTTTTGGCCTAGCAGCAGCTAGCCCTGCTCAGGAGTCAGCAGCCACCTTCCTTGGCCTGGGGTGTATCTGCCAGCAGGCCTCCACCCTGGAGAGCACCAGAGGCTCTCGTGCTGAGCTTGTGGGAGCTGCAAGTGATGACTGTGGCCACCAGCGGTGTGGGCACGCCACCACAGCACAGGCAGAAAGGTCTCTCTGAGGAAAGAGTGGGAGGAACAAGCTGTTTCCACTTCTGTCTCCTTCTGGCTTAGCAGGGTGCAGGAATGGCATCTTCTCCAGGCTCAACAAAATGACAGCTTGCTCAGGAGACAGTTCACACTTTTAAGGCCAGTTTGAGGAGCTTGCTGTGCTAGTTGTCACCCAGGGAGCAGGACTTCATCTGCGGAGGGGGAGCAGATCCATCTGTGTGATACCCAAGTGAAATTGAAGCATTTTAGCATTTTTTCCCCCTGTAAAACATAACAGCAGGATGCCCCAACTCCATGGGCAGAGTGGCTGTTTGCAAGGAGAGACAGCAGAGGCAAGCATGGCCCTCAGAGGGGCTTTTGTGTTTCTTAAACTACCAAACCACTGACAGAGGGGACAAATAAATGAATCACGTAAACTAAAGCCAAGGCCTTCTCCAGTCATTCTGCTCCTTCCTGGGAGAAAGGCAGCACAGGGAACACACCCAGCAGTAATGTCATGCACTAGTGTAAGCACCAAGGTCCTCCCCTTTCAAGAGCAGGACATGTGCTCCTATTGTTTTTTTTCTAACTTGGCTTCTACCTGTCCAAACAAAACTCACTGTGTCTCCTTGAGCTGCAGCTTAAGGATGAGGATGTTATGACCCAGCTCAAGATCCTGAACAAGGAAGGGAAAGAGAGGACAGGCTGGTTGCACAAAGAACCATGTTCAGTAGCACGGCAGAGTGGGGCTTGTAATTTCACAATCTTGCCCTGCACCTGAGCAGCCCCAGCTGGCAGCAAAATGCCACGTGTACTCCAGGCTCCTCGAGGCCAGGGAAGTGTTTACACTGACAGACACCTGCAAGGCCTAGAGGACACCTCCCTGCAGAATTAGAGGTGGGGATGCCGGGCATGACCAGCAGAGCTGGAGCAGAGCCAAGCAGCAAAATCCACCTACTGACAAGTGACTCAATGGATCAGGATCCTGTAGGCTCTGGGCTTCCCCTCCCCTCCAATGCTGCTGCTGTGTAGGCACAGCTCTGCTCAGGGAGGCACCTTTGCACTGCCAGCCAAAGAAAGTCTGTGCTCTTCCACCTCCTACCTCGTACTCGATAGCAAGGTCTGTGTGATCGTCAATGTCCACCTTGGCCATCAGCACCTTCCCCTCCTGCTTGGCCACCAGCTTCTCTAACCTGGGGCCTAGGATCTTGCAGGGACCACACCACCTGATGGAGCAGGAAAAGAGAGGGGACATTAGGAGAGGCAGATGCAGCCATGGAAGGCATGCTGGTACACCAGTGCCTTTACCACCACTGCTGTTCCACTCAACAGCCAGCCTGGAAATACAATTCCTGAACCATGACTTAGAAAAACACTTCTCTCACAAAGGAGCTGTCAAAGGTTAAGGAAGCTCTGAATCCAGTTTCAGGCTTCCATTAATTGTTCTCTCCTCCCTGGATGATCCCGACTAATGCTCACTTTAGTCTGTCAGTTAGTTTATTTAAAGCAGAAGTTTTTTGGCTTTTTTGTGCTCCGTTTGCCCCACACCAGCTGTAACTGGCTCATATAACAGTAACTGTAGGACTATGAAAATACGTGAAAAACCCAAAGATAATCAGTATTGTTAACAGAGCAGATAGTATCTAGGAATATTTTTACTGGCAGGTGGATGACAGCATTTTTATTGATGACAATTGCTGTCACTGGAGTTATTAAAGACATAAAAACATTTGCTATAAAGAGCCTCAAAACCACACAGCTTTAAGAAACATGGGATGATACACCATAACAATGGTGAGGCATAGCAAGTGCAGAGCTCTCTGTGGTTGTTAACAAACTTTAATGTTTCTAAGAGGACGTTGCATCCATGAAGCCAAATAGGGCAGATATCAGAACTTTTTCCTGAGACATTTTTTGTAGGATGATGCAACACTGGGGCTGGGATGACACCTGAGCACCTGAAAGGTGCAGCTATGCCACCCAGGGGAATGCCTTCCTGGCACTCCTGCAGGGTGTAGCTGTGAGGGGAATCTTCATGGTTTTAGCCTGATGGGCAGAAGCATCTTTCAACACTGGACTGTGCAGCTTGGGAAGCCCTGAAGCATGCCCCTCCATGGTGAGCCCGGAGTGCCACCACATCAGGAAAGTCACAGGGCCACAGCTGTACTGGTGATGGCAGAGAGGCACAAGCGGAACTTACTGCGCATGGAAGTCCACCACAACGGGCTTGGGGCTGTTCACCACCCGGTCCTGGAAGTCGCTGCCGTCCTGCACGTTGAAAGTGCTCCTGCGGCCGGCTGAGGTGCCAAGGGCCCTGCCGTGGGATGCCAGGGGTCCCCGCGTGGGGAGCGACAGCAGCCGCTGCAGAGCCAGCCTCTGGGCCATCTGTGGGGAGAGTGGTTGGTGCGGTGGGTGCACCCCATGGCTGCTGCCACTGCGGCAGCGCCCTGATCGGAGTCCCCTCGGCAGGACAGCCCCCAGGCCAGGAGATGTCCAGGAGAGAAGTACGGGGTATGACGTGACTGCTTCCTGCCCCTGCACCCCGCCTCCTCCCCGTTTGCAGGGAGACAGCAACAGGCACAGGGTCCCTGTTTCCCTCAGCCCTGCGGAGTGGAGCTGCCCCCACCGCCCGTTCCTCCCCACCCACCGGGCAGACCCGGGCCTGCACCGATACCGCGGGGCTCCTTCAGCTCATGTCCCAACAGCCGGCGCAGGCCCCCCGCCCCCAACCCTGGGGGCGACAACAACCCCAGAGGCCGGCGCCCCGCTGCTCCCGAGCCCGGGGGCGGAGGGCACGGCCGGGAGGGCCCCGCTGCCCCCGCCCGCACCTTGAGGCGCGGAGGTGACCGCGCACGCCGGCACCGCCCAACTGCGCCCATTGGCCACCGCCGCCGGAAGGCGGCCGCGAGCGGGCGGCCGGACGCCAGCCGGTTGGCAGGCGGCCCCAGAGCCGGGTGCCTCCGATTGGCTGCCGTGCCTGTCACTTAGCCCGCCTCGCCCCGCCCCGGAAGGGGCCTGTGGGATGTCACGCGGGGCGATTGGCGGCGGAGCGCTCCAATGGGCGCAGGGAGCGCAGCAGAGCCGTGGCGCGGGCCCGGCGCCGGTGGCTCCGGGTGGCGGCTCTCTTCAGCTCGAGGCCACGCAAAGGCCGCCTGCTTCACCGGCTTCTTTAAGCTCTCCTGGAAAAGCACAGCTCTACAGTCCCCCAGACAGCAATTAACTCCGTTCCACAACGCGCCCACCCGTGCAGGGCACCGGGATCAACCTGCACCCCTGCACTCGGGGGTGACCACTGACCAGCGTGGCCCATGCCACCCTCTCCAGCTGCATGTCAACAGACACTACCTTCCAGCAGCAGCATTGCTTGCGTAGCCCAGCAATCTCAAAGAGAGCAAGAACTCCTCTGTCACTTCCTTGACCCCTTCTGCTCCCCTGCCTCTCCAAGTAACTGGAGTTTTAGGGAAACAGCTGAATTCAAGGGATTGGGACAGTTTTAGGTACATGTAACGTACAGCCCCCCTCAGTCTGGAAGCAATAATGTGCATTTTTTAAGAAGCTAGAGGGTTGAAAAACACGTGGAGGTAAAAGCCTATTCCCTGTCACCCCTCCTGTATTTCCTAGAAATCACAGGGACATCATGAGGTCAAGCTCAGAAGTGCTCTTGGCTTTGCAACTCCAGTCCCATGGAAGGAGTCCACAGGACAAGCATATGTGGCTGACAAGAGCAGCAGTAAAGCACAGACAACCTCCCTGTCAGTCCCTTTAGAATCTGAAGGTGACTGTAGGGGAATAAAACAGAGAAAGAGCATTTTAACAACATCAAACTTTCTTGATGGGACATAGTGCAAATAGGAGAAATATTGGTCATGCTTTATAAAAGATGGGCTAACCTTCTAGACTGCTTGGTGTGGGAGAAGAAAAATATGAGGACAGCAGAGCCAAACTCTTAAGTCTCTGTGTCCCAGGCATTCCAAGCAAGATACTCATCTGTCGTGGAGGAAAGAGTCCCTTGTAGTGTTCCCTGGGAAATTATAAATTATCTGACCTATACAGTAACTAAAAAAGTCATCTTTCGCCACTCAAGCTACACAATTGCCCTAACCCAAAAGCAGGAAAAATACCAGGAAGTTTGCCAGGAGTATCACTTCAGGATTCAATGCAGAAACAAATCTTCAAGTATACACAGCATATGGCACCCAGGGACCAGAGAGCCACAGGCTGTGAGAAGGCCACCTCTGAAGGGCGACGTGGCATCTGAAGTTTCCCAGGCATTCCTGCACTCACTTCTGTGGCTTCTGTACGTCACTGCAAATACTGGTCAGTGAGATAAACACCAACACCATCTTCAGGCAACTCTGAACTCTGCAAGGACAACATGGGAACCTCAGCATCACTGGGTTTTGGTCCCTCAATCCTTCAGAGTATGTTGGTCCTCTTTGTAACAGCAAGATCTGAGCAGGTCTTTGGCAACTCATGATCAGTGGGAAGCATGGGGATGGAAAAGGGATACTGGAAAGGGCAGAATCCTGCTGTGGATCTCTGTTACAGTACTGTCACAAGAGCACCTATGAATTTCAGTGTGGAGCAAGAAAGGTTAAAGCTCATCCTTGGCATTAACAAGATGCTGCAGAGGACGAACTGGTATCCCATGATCTCTCATCAACTGGTCCTGTGATCCATCGTGGCTGTCAGGGGGTCTGTCGCCCGAGAAGTCTGTGTGAGCATAATCCTGGAGCAGCCCAGCCTGTACCGCGTGGTGCCGGAGCTCCTGGCTCCCCACCAGTCCCTGCATTCGAATGTAGCCCTGCTGGCAGGAGGGAGGCAGCTTCTGATGGGTGAAGGCAAACAGGAAACAGGACTCTGCAAGGGAAAGGATCAAAACTTAGAGTCAGCAGAGATACCCTGTAGGGAAATACTCCCATGAACTATCAGGGACTTGCTCAAAACAAAAGGCAGAGAGGATGAGGGAAGATGGCTGGAGTTTCCCACCCGGTACCCGGCTGCGGGTGGCAGCACAGTAATTGACGTAATTCTGGAGAGCTCAGGAGATGCAGAGAGGGATCCCTAGTCTGCACACAGAGAGAAGAAGGAGCTAGATTTGAGCTTGCATCCATCTGGCATCTTCTTTGTGCACAAGATGCCTTCCCTCTGTGTGGCTCATGGGCTTCCTGCAGGAGTCTTCCCACATCTATCTTAAGACCAGGAAGGGAGGCAGCAGAGGCTCCTCACCTCTCACCTCACAGCACTCCCATTTCCCATGGGAAAGCAATCCAATCACCAGTACGTGACATTCAGTACACAATGGCACAAAATGTTCAGATAATGAAGAAGAAAGAAAAGCTGCAGTTAGAAAAGGGATTGAACCCAACCTCATATGCCTTTCTCTAAATCCTGTCATGCCTGGGCCAGTCTTCTTCTAATGGTGAACAAGAGCAAGGACTCTTTGGGAAGATACACACAGAACAGCACTTTGTACCATCTGGTGAGTGCATTGAGGAGGTGTGACTGACAGTGAGACAAGCAGGTCACCACAGGGAGATCTCAGCTACTGGCAGAAGAGATCACTCCTGTCACTTGTTCCTCACATTGCTCCTCCCCTTGCTGCCACTTCGACCCTGTGCACAAATTACCTGCAAAGAAATTGCGCAGGTCGGTGCTGAGGCAGTTCTCCAGAAATCGCCTCAGTGGCAGGATGTGAGCATTCGGGGCTGTCCAGTCTGTCAGAAAGTCCTCCACAATGTGATGGATGGCATTTGGCCGGGGCAGAGGCCAGTCTGGGGGACGGACTCTCATCTCACGCTCTGCAAAGAGAACATTAAGGGAGTCTCTTAGAAGCAAAATGGCATTAAAAAGAGCTTGGGGAGTGGAAAGCAGCTATGACAGCTGTTTCCGCTTTTGTCCTGACCTTTTAATCCATTACTTTCGTTTGCAATCCCCTCTGCTAGCTCTGTCCTCAACAACCCTGCCATTGCACAGCTGCCCTCTGTCCCTGCCTGTAGCATTCCTGTCATTTCACTCCTGTTCCCCTCCTGTTCCCCCTGGGCAGGGACTGCCAGATGGGCTGTGTTGTGTTTAATGCTGCTACCCATCAAGCTCATTCCTGAGAAGGCAAGCTGGACCCTGACCCTGGGTGTCTGGAGATGAAGATTTCAATGCACTCATTTCCCAAGGAAGTCTACTCTGAGCCTGTTTGCTGCTGGATAGAACACTCCTCTTCAAACCCTTGCCTTTGGCTGCCTCTGTGTCTGTGTGACCTCTCAGACCTGGGCCTGCCAGAGAGCAGCTTTCTCTTGGCAGCAAGATGGCCAAACAACACCACCCTCATCTGTCAGGCTCTGCAAAATACACATAGGGTGCCAGCCAAAGGGAAGAACTATTCCTCTTTTAGGGCATGGGGAAATTTCCAGCACGCCTGTTTGTTCCTATTTTCAAATGTGAGGTCTCTGGTACAGCCCCCCACCCCCTATATCGGTCCTACAGACGGAACTTTCTTGCCAACTCTCAGCTTCCTTTTCAGCTCATACAGTGGTGGGAGGTGTCTCACAGGAAGGGGGAATAGTGCTTTCAGGTACCACCCCCACTCTGGCTCTGATTTATCTTTATCTCTCTTTGTTTTGGTTGTGTCACATAACTAGCAGGAAAGCTTACCTGTTGGGAGGTGTTTGTAATAGTAAATAACAGGGTGTAAAAAGTTGGACTGCCAGGCATGCTGTGCCTCTCCCACAGCACGGTTGTAGTAGAAGACATCCTTGTCAGCCCCAGAGAAATTCCTCCCATATTCCATGACGATGACAAAGAGCCCATTGCGAGCCTTTCTTCCCGTCTGCATTTCCAGCTCGGCCAGGACTCCAATAGGGTACTCTTCCAGGTATTCAAATGCTGTGGCATTCCTGAGAATTGAAAACATACCATTGGAATTTTCCACCAGGGAAAGCCAGCTGGGATCCAACCCATCCTCAGCTGGTCAAGGCTAAAGCAAAAAAGTCATCAGATAGTAATTTTGTTTGGTCATTACAAATCTAAGCTGTACTTGATGCAGAGTTTATAAAGGCTGCAGATACTGTTACAAGACACCATTGTTTTCCTAGATTATGGGATTGTCTCTACAGTAGCACTGGTCAACAAAGTTTTTCTCTGGGGTCAGTAAAAGAGTACTACACTTCTGAGCCTAGAGGGAAGGTTTGGACCATTTCAACCGTTTAAGAGGGAGAAACAGTCTGCACAATTGGGCACCAGTTGCAGCAGTAGTACAGGTTTGGGGTGGCTGCCTATGCGATGGTAACATCCTTAGGCAGGAACAGCACAATTGGTGTGGTGGCAACACGGGAGGCAATGGTAAGGAAACAGAAATGAAATTATGGAGCACAGTGCTGGGAATAATTACTCACTCACTCACTCTCTCAGCAGTATGATGTCAGCCAGGACACTGAACATCTGGTAGAGGCCTGAAGCCTCATTCACCCTCTTGATGATGGAATTGGTCAGCTGTGTAATAGGGTAGACTGTGGATGGCCAGGGGACACCATGGTGACGGTTTTCCAATAGGCGATGGACTGCCCGAGCTGAGACATGGAGAGAAATAAAGACAGCTAATTTAACAAGCTTATGCTTTAAGAGATCAAATCTCTGTGCTGCAGCAGGACTCAATAAAAAACATTTACAGCTCCTCTGTGCTCAGGATCTCCCACCCCAATTGCTGGCAACTGCAGTGGAGATGCCCTTGGAAAGCTGATGTGATGCTAAGTGGTGGGGGAGGGGGCAGGGGGGTCCTTGGGGATATTTCATTACTTCTCAGCAGTCCTTTAATGATAAGGATGGGCACACACAGATAAAGAAGGAAATTCTCTCTACTGCCCACAGTTGCTGGGTTTTAACTCCACAGCACAGACCTCTCACCCACAGCCTGTCACGAGGCAGAGCATCTGGCAGGAAGAAATCTATTGTGTTACATAAATAACAGACAGCGGGCAAGAGAGACACAAGACAAAACAAAGACAGACAACCAAAAACTTCATATATGACCCCAAGTCACTTCTCCACTTCAGATGATGCAGCTGCAGCTTGACTGCGTTTTGTCCTTTTTATTGCCAGAATAAGACTAATGGCAATCTCTTTCCAGCAGTAAGCTATGGATTGTTCCTTCGAAGGGAGGATCGATTTCCACCTCTGCCCTTTCTGTACACCCCAGTACTCACTTGTATATCGGAATCCATGGATGAAGCCCCCAGCAGATTTCCTAAAGTCAACTGAATGGCTAGCAGTACCAAGAACAAAAAGCCCCCGAGTGCCTCTAGACTCGTAGCTGGGTTTGATTTGAGGATACTTCTTAATATTCCCTTTTCCTGGCATCATTCTCAGGGATCTGATAGACAAAAGAGAAGAGCAGGCTATCAGGAAGGACAGGAGTAGAAAAATAAAAAGGGTTTCTGATACACACTCTATTGCAGCCACTGCAAGATTCTGCTTCATACCCCTGCTGCTGTCAGTGGCATTTATAACTAAAATGAGGATCTTTGGAAGATAAAGGTGTTGATCTCAAGATAGCCCTGGACAAGATCTAATTCTCAACTAAGCCATTAACAATTAATTTTGGAAAACAGTGAAGTTAGCAGTATCATTTTCAACTGCAGGATGTACCAAGGTGGAATGAAGGTTGCATCCTCAGGGAATTTTTTTTCCCAGACAAAACCTTTTTGTAGTGGTCTGCACCTTTATCATCCTCATTTCAGCAAAAAACCTGAACATTGCTAGCCTTGTACATGTGAACTGGCAGGTCAGGATGTTAAGTTCTAAAGACACAAACTTTTCTGTGTCACTCAGGTCTCATTGCTCCCATCTGCACAGCCTTAAAGCCTGTTGGTCAGAGGGCAGTGACACACATTCCCACTGGCACACAGCCTTACCTGCAGGATAAAAAAAGGACTATGCAGCACCAAGCATCTCAGAGGTTCAAACAATGCTACCAGGAGAAGATCTGGTCTTCCCTTTCCGCCCTACTCAGGCCCTTCAGCCTAAATACCTTTTTTCATGGAGATCCTGGTTCTCCCTCACCTATTATAGATAGAGAAGTCAAACTTCCAGCCCAGGCAGCGGATGACACGGTCATAAGGTGCGCGGGTAGCAAAATTGTCCAGTTCATCCTGAGGGAGGGTGATGGAGTCGATGCCCATGCTGATGTTCCTGTTCTCCAAGTAGAACTGCAGTGTGATGTGCAGCTTTCCCTTTTTGTCCTTAACGATAGCCAGATCTTCCAAATCACCCTCCAGAAGCCCATCCAGAGATTTCAGCTGGTAGGTGTCCAGCAGGCCATTGTTAATTGCTCTATGGAAAATACAAGAATGTAAAGGAGGGAGGTTATGTCTTAGCTGCTGAAAATGGTATCATTTATCAGGTATCCCAACTCCTCTTCAGTCTAAGGGTTATCCTCAGAGCCTCACGGCTCACAGGAACAGCACAAGGAAAACAGCCTTGCTGTCCTTGCAGAATGTAACCAACCTCTTAGCTTTCCCCTGCGACTGGAAGCAAGGGAATAACTAGAGAGCCAGTACATTTTAAAGACTATAGTTTCCAAGTGGACATGTTTTTATTTCACACAGGTCCTAAAAAGCTCTCACCAAGCCTCTGTGTTCAGCAACTGCAACCTGGATTACTCTAAAGGTTTACCAAGGTCCTATAGAAAGCTCCATATTTCCCCTGTGGCCCCCACTGTGACAGCACCAGTCCAGCCTGTTGCCTGGGAAAGAGGTGATTCTCTTTGTTTATATTCCAGCTGTGCTAGAAACAGGAATAGGAGCAGTTCCTTACCTCAGATCCCCGACGTAGTGGGTGGCCCAAGAGAGGCGCACGCGGGACCGGCTCACCATGTGGATGAAATTCGTGACACCCAGGATGTTCTCCGCTGTCTCGAAGGCAGAGTTCCCTCGGCCCAAGATCAACACGGTTTGGCCAGCAAAGTCCTCCGGGTTGATGGACACAGTCTCGTAACCTTCAACATATTCTGAGCCAGGAAAGTTTACCACATTGGGAACCCACATTCCAGCAGCAACCAACAAAGAGCTGCAAGAACAGGGATAGCACATGGAAATGCAGGAATTTCAGGAAAGGGCTTCCATCTCCTCATTCTTTCCTCCTCCCACTGTGGAAGGTGACTGCAATGTGACCCCCACAGTGGCACTAAACCAGCTGCAGAGGCCATGGTTTCAAAAGAAACCTCTACCTAGCTTCAACTAATGACCTGCTCCTCTCTTCCCTATCCTCAGGACAACTAGGAACACTGTTATATATAGCAACAGTCAGTGTGGGTGCTGTATATATGCATCACCCTCGCCTGTTCATGAATGCAACTTCTACTCATATGAACTCACTGACAATATCACAGGCTGATTATATGTTGCATAAAAATTACTTTGATTTAAATTTTGAGTTGACATTTGGCAGAGCAGAAGTCATTTTTAAGACAGACAGGAAATAGTTTTGATATTTTGAAATGTAACTGCCAGTCATAAAAACATGTTAGCAACATCACTAATTGTTAACACCAAAAATAACTACAGTGGTCTTTTTATATCACTCCATAAGAGCTTTTACTTGAATTGTGAGGAAGTTTTTGTGACTTAGATGGAAGCACCAGGCGGCTGAGGCAAGCAGCACTGCCTGCTGTCACAGCCTTGCTTACACAGCGTCCCGAGAGCAACTCGCTCACAGTATGTGGGTGTCCGGGGATTGCCTTCTGTCCCCTCAGAGCCTGCCAGCAGCACACCGGCAAGTGACAGCCAGCATGACCTGCTGTCGTAGAGCTGAGGTTCTCGGGAGAGGTGAGAAATACACTCCGTATGTTCACACAAGTAACTTCGAGGTTTTTAGGAGTGGAGCTCAGTGGCGGTACGGGAGACACACACGTAAATAGGACGAGTGGAAGGGGAATTCAGCGACCCAGCAGCCCTGAAGTTTATTTCTCACAGTCCCTGCCCCTCCCCCAGAAAACCCCCACTTTTCTCTGCTTCCCCCACCCCGTTCTAGCTCTGTGCCAAACAAGGGCTTCACTTGTCTGGGACACACCCCTGAACACGTGCGGGAAAACGGGAGCAAGATGTCACTGCACTGACTCAATCCAGTTTGTAATAAAGGCAGTGTTGGCTGTGAGTACAACCGAGTTATGTTTTTCACAGACAGCAATTATCTAGTGATAAAACAAAAGTGATTTCAAGCATACCTATCAAGGACACACACTGCAGTGACGGCCATGGCAGCCAATTTGTGTCTGCCCTCCCAATCTCCTCAGCTGCCCAAAGCAAAACACTGCTCATGAAAGGCAATGCCTTCCCAGGAGCAGTTATTCCACCCATCCACATGCCAATCCATAAAAAATGTTTTCCGCCTGTGATAGAGATTAAAGCTCTAAGAGGCTGTGAAATCTCCATCCTCGGAGATACTCGTGCCTCAAGAGGGCGAAGCTCTGAGCTGCATGTGAAGCCCCAGGTTTGCCCATTACCTGCACTTGTAGTTCTTCCTGTCCTGGTCTGTCAGGAGAAAGTAATGGCCGTTCCAGGCCTGCTCACTCTTCTCCAATGTCACATGGATGATGGCTGTGTTGTACTGAACTCGCAGCTTCAGCAGGGAAGCAAAGTCCTCCAGGTAACGCACCATCGTGTCAGCGTCGGGGAAGAAGTCGCGAGAGTAGCGTCGGAAAAGCAGCCGCCGGTCGTGGCTGAGAAGCGAATTCCAGTCATGGCGGAGGTTGAACTCGCTGTTGGACTTGCCCGTGTACTGCTTGTTGATGCTGATGAGTTTGCGGTGCCGGGGGTAGAGAGCGAAAAAGCTGCCGGGAGCGTGGCTCCGCTCAAAGACGATGTAGTCCCGGCCGGCTTGCTGGAGGAAATAGGCCGCCTGCAAGCCCGCGGGGCCGGCCCCGATGACGCAGTAGTCGTGGTACAGGAACGTGGCACCACTCAGGGCGCTCAGGCTGCTGGCGTACAGGGCCAGCCCCAGGAGCGTCCCGCAGACCCCCGGGGCCATGGCGGGGCTGGCGCAGCCTGCTCTGGAGGGAAGAGGACCGGGAGACGTCACCGCAGGGGCTGCAGCCTCTCCCCAGGAGACCCCCGACCCCACCAACCCTCGCCCACAGCAGCCCAGACCCAGCCGCCATGACCACACAGCACAGGTTGGGGTGTTGGGGCGGGGCCCTGCTCCCTGACAGCCAATAGCAGCAGGGGTCCCGGGCCTTCTAGCCAATGGGTGCACAGTGCCCTCCGCCGCAGCACATAGGTGGCAAGGTGGGGCAGCACCTGTGGACTGCTGGTGGCGAGCGCCTCTGCGGCTCACCAGCCAATGGGGACGGGCGGCGCAAGCCCCCCAGCCAATGGGAGATGGGGTGCCCAGCGCTGCCCTCGCTCCCCCTCCAATACGGTCCCGGCCGTGATGCCCCCGCCCCCGCCAAACGGCGCACGAGGCGCGGCGCACGTGACGCGCGCGGCCGCCGCCGCCCGCCCGGACCCGTCCCGCCCGGGGCCGCACCTGCACCATGGAGCTCCCGCCGCTCCGCTCCGCTCCTCCCGCTCCGCTCCCTCCTCCTTCCCGCGCCGCCCGGGCAGGGCGGGGAGGGCACGGCGCTGCCTCCCGCCCGCTGCGGGGGCGAGCGAGGGGGGCGGCGCGCTCCCCGCGTCACGTGACGCCGCCACCGGCACCATGGCGGCGCGCGCACCACGTGTCCGGGGGCGGGTGGCGCTTAAAGGGACAGGCGGGGGATGGAGCCGCGACCGCGGGGGACACCCGCACCCGGCACACACACACACACGCAGCGCCGGCACTCGGCAAAATCAACTTTATTCCGCTTTCCCTCATTTATGATCCATGTACAGCACAGCCAGGGCAGGCGTACAGCCACAGCCCAACCCCAGTTCCGGGGCTGCCCCCGAACTGCAGCCCCTTAGTGCTGGTTGCAGGGTTCAGCTCTCTTCCTCTGAAAAAGAAGGGAAACAGAAATTAAGTGAATGCAGCTGGGGGAAGAAAACCCCAAAATGAAACCCTTACTTGTCAAGGAAATGCCCACAAACACAAAAAATCAAAGCTGCCACTTCGGGAGATTCATCCCACCTCCAACTGTCTCCTCACCTCTGTCCAGCTTCCCAACAAACCTGCCCATCAGCCACGACCACACACTTCTCATACACAATTTACATTCCTGAGCAAATTACGCAGCAACCCAAATAACATTTCCATAATAAAATCCAGAGCAGCCATCATAAGTTTACAGCCTAAAAATAATCTGGGAGATATTTTTCCTATCACAGAAGCAAGAGGTCTAGGATAAATGGTTTTCCACTGTTAGCAGAGCACACAGAGAGCTCAAATCAGAGATGGTTTTAGGCAGCAAAGGGAACGCAGCAGTTGTCCACTGGGCACCACTGATCCTCCAGAACTTGCATCCAGACCAGCCAGTGATTGCTCTGCTTCAAGAGTCACTTTGGAAAAGCCTTCACCATGTTCCCTTAAGTGCACTACATCAGCACGTGTTTTAAATGTGTCACCTTACAGTCACTGCCATTTCTAAAACTGCAGTCAAAAAATATCCCAGTACCAACAGAAACTAGCACCCACCCACTCCTGCAGGCCTTGGGGCCACTGAATGAAGGGCTTCTTGGCAGGCTTCGTTCTGCCAGACAGTGCTCTGGATCTGGGACCTCCTCCCAACTCCTGCTAAAATCAGTCCTCATCAAGTACCTGTACAGAGGCACATCATCTGCATTTCCAACTCTGCATTGTTTTTCTTCCAGCTGAGTACTCCCAAAGTCACTCACACCTTTTCAACAGTCCCATCCTTGGGACCACCCATTTTGCAGCCTCGCTCTTCTCCTGCCATTGCACTGGTCAGATCTGATCCTTACCTCTGGTCTTCATCATGTATCAACCCCTTTACATCCAGACTAGTACATCACTTAAAAGCATAAAACACCAAATATGCTACAAACCTTCCTCTTCCTCTTCTTCCTCCTCATCCTCCTCATCTTCATCAGAGCTGAAGGTGCCATCAGGCAAACTGTAGATGCGGATCACCTGCTTGTTGGGGTCCTTGAGGATGAGGTACTTCCCCTCATCCAGCTTCATGCAGATGTCAATGACACATCGCAGGATGCCCCAGGCGTTCTCTATGCTCAGATTTATCTGGCTGGCAAATTCATTTGGCTTGAACTGCTGTGTGCCCAGGATCACATGGCGGGCAGAATCTTTCACGTGGTAACGGGATACGTATCTAGGAGGGCAAGAAGAAACCAAAGGGTATCAGGAGATTACTCCCAGACAGAAGGCAAGAAAAGCAGCGTGATCATCTTATTTTTGTTTTCTTGGCTGAAAAATCCTAATACTCCAACACTGAAAGCTAAGAGGATTTCCTGGCTACAAACTGTCAATCTGCAATGCACCTGGAAATCCCCAAATCGGATGGAGAGGTACAAAAGATGAAGAAGAATTAGCCCCACAGATAAAATTAAGCAATAGCACGATTAGCTGGGTGTTTGCAAGAAAAGAATCAATTTTGTGTCTGTGGATGGAATTGAGGGTTGCAGAACCACTAGAACTTAGGAAAAGCCTCTTGTTCATTGCCTACAGTACTCAACTGATTTTAAGCCGACAGTTTAAAAAACGATGCAGCCATATCTCCCCCCACCACCTAATTTCTCAGTAACAGGGCATTGAGGATCTCAATCAGATTCCTGACAGACACCACAGTCACTGTATTTATTTCCCTTGTTGGTGACCACAGCAAAGAGGCTGAGAGCCCACACAAGCCACCTGCCCCTCGTGTGTGGGGTCAGTCACAGCTGATGCTAAGAAGCAGCTTACACCACAGGCTTTCCTTTCTTGGCCTTTCTTAACACTGTGTGATTTAAAATTCGTTCTGTAAATGCTTCACTCAGCCATACATGAAGTTTAATAATGGAAAATGCACCTGGAAGATATTCTATGTGAACTGCCCCCCTTACCCGAGTTTAAGATACTCTGATCCAGCCAGCAGTGCACAGCATGTCCAGCGGGCCAGTTTGTAGCTGTTGTTCTTCAGCTCCGTGGCAATGACAGCCCCTCTCTGAGAGTCCAGCTTCTGGCGCCAGTCCACCCCATTGCAATACTGAGAGGAGAATCAGAACCAGGGTCAGCCTGACAAGCCACCAGCAGCCATCTCTTCAGCCTTCTTGTCATCACATAGGGAAGCTGTCTACCCTATGGTACCATGTGAGGGAATGTGAACTGCAGGGTACAGAGAAAGCTCTTGCACTGGGAAGGGAGAAATGCAAGCAACTGGGATTGCTCAACATTTGTGGCACTGATTAGAAAGGGTAGTTTGAGAGGAAAGAATTCTGAAGAGAATCATAAAGAACAGACTGGCTACTGTGCTGAACACCCAGGGAGACAAGAGGGTTCAACCAGCTACCTCACATTTAGGGGAATATCGCTTCAGCACTGCTTATCCAAAAAGGTTACTTAGTGAAATGTAACACCCGGGGAACACCACCAGATGTTTATCTCATCTTCCCTGCTGTACCTGGCATGTCAGGCAGCAGTGAAGCAGTTAGAGCTAGCTTGGGGATCCTGTTCTTCCTCACCCTCGAATCCCACTCGTTCAGTGTTTTGATGTTGATGAATGACACTTCTCCATTAGCTCCTGTCATCACTCCATCATGTTCACAGCGGACAATGAGATCTATATCATCTCCCAGCTTCCATCTTCGGTACCTGCCAATACACAATCCAGCTGGTTATTTCTGACCTTTGTTCTCTTCCAGATCCACGTAAGCATTCAGCAAAATCCTTTCCTCCTATATCTTTTCACTATGAGGTCATCCATTAATCCCTTTCAAGGTAAAGCTTGTATCAGTCACACTCCCAACGTGTTCTGCCTCCGTATCACACTGACATCCTGCCCCCTTGCCAAACCTGGGCATCAGAAATACCAACTTACCTGTATGCAACAGAGGCTACTTCATTTTTATCCATGTCATCCTCCACAAAGGGGTTTGGGTTGGGAAACTTGTATTTCTCCTTTCCCTGAAGATGAAAACAGCAGAGTATATTAGGAGACAGCTTTCCTCTGTTGGAAAAATATTCTTTTACAGCAACAGTAACTGATTTCCCTTATGTAGAGAAACACCAAAACATTAAGACAGCTGATGAAAGCCTCATGCCCACATTAGTCACAGCACTATAAGCAGTACTTGTACTGGTACTTAGGCTTCATTAAGTGTACTGACAAGCCTGTCTACATCATCAACGGGAGTAGAATGACTCCTCTGTGAAATCAAGGTGAAAACCTCTCTACAACAAAGTCACACTGCTCACCAGAAATAATCCCACCTCTTTTAAAACTGAAAGACCATGGGTATAACACAACTGTCAATTAAAATGTTTCTGTGCTGCATTAAAGCAGCCTTAATGAAGTCTCTTCTTGAGACTCTCTGGAACACAGACCCCACTACTCATCACCTTACCATCCTCAGACACTGCTGGGAGAAGTTATGATTGATGTAGGTAGCTTCCATGGCCAAGTTGCGTGGAGAATTAAAAGAGTTGCCCTCTTCCTGTGGTGGTTCATTGGCTGTTTCACTCACTGTCAGGAGGTCTGGGAAGAAAACCAGATGCAAGTGGTTATACTTGGGGGAGTAACTATGTCAGCTTTAGCGAGTTTATAGCCCCACACCAGAGCAGATCAATACTGAAGTTCCCCACACGGCTATCACACATACTACAGTAATAAGTTTGCTCAGGGGGCTTAGTGTGGACACCCAAATTAGCCTGAAGAAAATTAGACCCTTTAGCTACTGCAAGAGAAATTCCTTCCAGGACTTTTCCTCACCAAAATCTGAGTTGTCTCTCTTGTCAAAGAAAAGCTTGGATCCAACTCTCTGGACAATGATGTCCCAGGAATAGACAGAACGAGTGCAGCTCATCAGTGTGGCCAGAATGGCATCCGTGGCAAACACATTCCCTTGTGTCTTGGCCAGCTGTGAATACAGGAGGAGAAAACTGTTTCAGCAATAAGAACATATACCCCTTCCCCAGGCAGGATGAGAAGTCCTAGCAAACCAGATCACTGATTTCTTCTGTTCTGACTGAGAAACATGAACTGGTGAGTACCATATCGACTGCCAGCGAAGCATAAGGTACTACCCAGCAATCCTGGCCCAGCCTCACCCACACAAGAGGAAAGTAAGAAATTACTACAAGATGTTAATCCTGTCGGAAAATGCAGTTTCTCACTGCAGATCAGGTCACTAGAGAGAAATGTCTGAGCCTTCCTCGCCACCAAAAGCAAGGCCTAAGGATCAGGTCTCTGACATAAGTTTTCTTCCCAACATAATTGAAGTACTGGTCTGCTTGCCCTTCCAGAATTCTAGCTTTCCCTTGGCCAGTGTTCCTAACTCTGCATTAATCTACCTCTGCCTTCCACCTAAGAAAAATACTGGTACCAGCTAATGTTTCTTGCTTTTACCCTTTGGTCTGATGGTGACAGCTGGTATCTAACAACAGCACACACTGAGTTTTACAAACTGGTGGATACCTTTCGGATAACCGGGTCATCCGTAGTGGTGACGGTATGGAAGATGCGCTTAATGCTCCTCAGGAGCTTCTCGTTCCTTGTTGTAATGCGGTCGAAGGCTTTGTCATAATACTCTAGAGCTCCACAGCACTCTCTGCAAAGATAAGAGGACCATCTGGATACCCCTCCTACAGATAACACCACCCATGAACCACACAGGACCTGCTGGGTGTTCCGTTACCTCCCCTTGGTTTGGTACTTCAGTGAGAACACTGGGACCAGGTAGGAGACCCTTGAGCTCCTGTTTTCCAAAAATCTGGTGACTTCAAGGAGCAAGCAAAGGGCTGCTTTAGGAACTCACATGTCCTGTGGCTCTGACACCTCCAGATAGCGCATTTTCATCAGCCGAGGGAAATCCATCTCCTCCTTCACCTCCCAATCGCTGCGAACTTCAACAGAGGAGTCACGAGGTTTCTGCTGTGCGGCCAGAGGTGGGACAGGTACACAGAGAAATGGAGACACATCAGGATTTGTGCAAGAGGAGCTGCCTTTCGAGTGCAGCCAAAGAAACCTAACCATCAGAGGGGGCAAAATGCCCATCAGTTTGTCTACCTGTGATTTCTGGTCCCACTTCTGCCTCACTCCAAACTGCTTCTGAAACTTCTTTTGTAGGCGCAAACGATCTCTAAAATGACAAATGTGAGAAAAGCCGTGATTTCTATATGTCACAACCACTCCTCCACTTCCAAACTACTACCAGAGGAGCACTGCTTTCAGGCACTGCGCTGCTGAAACATTTTTTGAGCCATCTGTTGATCAAGATGCCCAAGGCATTAAAAAGTCTGTTCTTTGCTCTGAGCAGCTCTTTATATAGTTTTACCTGAAGACTGAAATGCAGTTTTCAGAAAGGATATTCTCTCTTTAGAATGCCATGTTTACTTTCTAAATACAACTAAAAAAATTTCAAATCCATGCTTTTAAGCACTACTGACACCAGAAGAACACTGGACTCGAAAGATCCCGAAATTCTTTGCTGACTGTTTGCTCCAGCAGACTCTCTTACTGTAAGTTTGCAAATTCATCAAGAGTATGTTCACACACTCCAACCAGAGCTCAGTATGCTCGTCTCTGCAGCCTCACCTCTCCTTCTGCTTGGCACTCTTTGGCAGTGTCTGCATGCTGAACTGCAGCATGTTCCGACGGTCCTTGTCTCTTCGAAGGTTCCTCTGCAGAAATGACAGAAAGAAAAAGGAAGGCATTTCAACTGGGAAAGAGTCCTGTGCTGCCGAAGGTCCCCTCTGATCCTGTCTCTGAGAACACGCTACCTGTGCAAACCTCATGCGGTTCCTCTGGTACGCTGTTTTCTGCGTCCGGGCCGTGTCCACCAGCTGAAAGCTGGTCTCGTCCTCCTCGTGGAAATAGGCATACTGGCTTCCGCCGCCAAACTGTGACGAGTACTTGTCTGGAAATAAAACAAAGCATCTCAGCACCAAGGTCCTAAGAAAAAACCCTGATGCTTTTGCCCCTCTCTCTCCCCTGCTCCCTTCACCTAAGTCTGATATCTCAATCGGGACTCCTGCCTTACACCTGCACATCTTCTCCCCCTTCAAACCTCCCTTACAAGCCTGGGTAGTAAGGCAGTACAAAAACCCAGAGTAAACCCCAAGGATAGGGAGAGGCCCACAGAGCTCTCCCGAGGGTAAAGCATGCTTCCTAAAGTAAGCTGTGTGTCTTGCTGAGGTGTGCAGGTAATTACAGGCTGGGTGTGAGACATGAAAGCAGGAACGACGCTTGGAAGGAAACTATGCAGAAAATAAACCCCAGGAACAGCCAGCAGACCACACATACTTGTGTATCTTTTATCCTGGTACGTGGCTCCTGTCCAATCGGCCACCTAAGAACGAGCATAAACAGTCAAAAGTAAGTATTAACACAACATATGCTCCAGGTTGAATCCTTTGACTCCCACCTCTGCCTGCCAGCCCTAGGTGTTCACAGTGTGTCAGGATGCACTGCCAAGGGTGCCAGAGGAGCAGCCAGGGTAACAAAAGCGAACACCGGAGGCAGCGTGCAGGGGGGCCCAGAGCTCACGGCCCAGCACGGCACGGGTACCTTGCCCAGGCGGTCTCCTTTGCTGAAGGGCTGGTAGGGCATGTCCTTGAACTGCTCGGGCACAGCACACGGGCCCCAGCCGGACGGGTTGTCCTGGATCACGGGTGCCACAAACTTCGCCATTTTTTAATTTTCTGAAGATGAAAAAATGAAAAAAACCTCTCAAACTCTCAGCTGCCGTACGGTGTGGCACCGAGACCTGGGGCCTTGCTTCGGCACACGCCACTGCGAAGGGAAAGCGCCTCCGCCAAGCAGGCCTGGGGAGGAAGGAAGGGTCTCGGCGGGCGCTGCGAGTGCCGGGGAGGGGCGGGGACGCGGCCCCACCGGAACCGGCGGGAGCGGCGGGGCGGGGCCGGGGGGTCTCGGAACGCGCGGGAGGTGCCGGCGCGACAGGAGAGCGGCTCCGGTGCGACCCCAGCTCCTCCCTCACCTGCGCGGCCCCGGCGCGGCCCCGATGGCGGCGGATGCAGCGGCGGATGCAGCGGCGGACCCGGGAGCGGCGGCGGCGGCGGGCGGGGAAAGGGCCGCGCGCAGCCCCGGCGCGCCCTTGGCGTCAGCGCCGCGCGACGGCAGCGCCCTGTCGTAAAAGCAGAAAACCGCCGACCCTCGGGAAAGCCAGCAACGAGCGCGGCTGCCGTAAAGCGGCAGCGTTGTCGCAAAATGTCAACTATTAAAATTTTCTTAAGAGAACGTGTTCTTTGGTGTTTGACCCTTGTGTGCTTTCAGCTCTGACCAACATGAAAAGAGGTTTAATCTGTGAAACAGGAACTATCAAACAAGCTCCGAGTGATGTTCAGGTGTTAGAAAGATGAATTTCTTGACACTAGAACTGCCTTTTTAAGGTTTAGGGATCAACGTATTTCAGTGACCTCAGGGGAGGTTAACAACATTTGGGAAGGGAGACGTACCACAAATAGTGGACACGAAGAATGCAGAATTTACAAGCCACAAAGACATTTGGCAGAACCCCCAAAGTAAGGAAGAAACTAATAAAGACAGCTCAGCAGCTGTGCTGAATCAGCTCCAACAGAGTAAAAGGTAATTCTGGTAGGGGGAGATCGTGGCCGCTGACCCAAGAAACCACCGGCTCGAAAGGAGAGGGAGATTGAGCATGCAGGCTAATTAGCATGAGCAGGGAGAGGTTCGTTAACTGATAGAAGACATAATACTAATTAAAAAGAGAACTAGGTAACTTGTAGCCAAGGGCCATTAATGCCTTTGTTTGCCAAAATATATAAAGAGGGAAAAGTTTTTGTAATTGTGCTGGCTTTGTGGATTTGCCATCCAGCACCACTTTCTTTGCAGATCTGTAAATAAATCAAATACCTGGATAATGTGTGTGGATTGGCCTCTTGCAGACTGGGTGAAAGAACCTATTTTGGGGTAACACTGTCATTTACTGAAATTTCGTTCCTGCTTAATCACCACTTAATAAAGAAAAATATGTGGGAGTGGAAGGAGAGTGATGTTAAGGATAGTGTAAATTTGCCCTGTCGGTTAAAGTTTGGCTTTTAAAGGTAAAAGCTGGGGGTGACGTGTAACAAAGCCCATTCATTTTGCACCCAGATGTGATAAAGAGGAAGAAAACTTGGCTTTCTGTATGTGCTGAAGGCTCAGCAGAGCACAGGAGCTCAGACAATGGTGAGGTCAGAAACATCTCCAGTGCTAATGGTGGCTAAACTTCCTGCAACTGTGGAACTTCTCTTGGCAGAGGTGTTCAGCCCTATGCTAGGCAAATCCCTGTTGGGAATGGTTTTGGTGTCAATGACTTGCCTTTTTTTTTTTATTTCTTTCCCCTTTAGAAAAACTTGAATTCAACTTATGTTACAAATCAGGTGTTGGAAGAATATTGATCCTCAGCTTAGTCAAATACAGATTTCATATTTCAACTATTAATGTGCAGTTCCCATCTGGTAAAATTTGCTTTACAGACATGTGATGGAGTTACTGCGAGGTCTGGTTGGTTAATTCCTGTTTTCCCAGATAAAAACAGAGATATATGTTAAGAGATAATTTTGTTAGAGAACAGACTTACAGGACTCTGGACAAGAAATATGTCAATAAAGTCACATGATAGGACAGGAAACATGACTTAATGGTGTGCCTCTTAATTTTCTCACACACACAACTTCTTAAAATAAAAATTGTATTCCAAACACTGCAATGATGCTGTGGAAAATCAGGTACTTTTCAGGCTGTAGTTGTATGATCATTCAACCAACATTTTGTTTTTAGAGGGTATTACAAAAACCACTTGACTTTGAGAATTAAAGATGTGTGAGGAATGGGAATTGCACTTGCCCTTGCTGTGTTCGCAGTGTGATATTTGAGCTTTCCCATTGTCCCTGATGGCTTCCCTGGACCTGCTGGAAGGCAGACCTAGGGCTGGAAGTTGGATTCAGCCCTACAGGCTCTCTAGGAGACCATGAACCAGTGATTTAATACAGCAGTGCCTCAAGTCCCTGTCTCTGTAATTAGGTTAGTATTTCTTCTCAGGGAATGAGGACAATAAATCATTAAATCCCAAATGTTCTCATGGCAGAGTGATTGAAATTTTCTCTGCCCCTAAAAAGAGCAGGATCTGGTTTACAAATCTCTTCAGCTTACAGGCTAAAAAACTCTTTAGAGATTTTTACTGAGTATCTTTTGCCTAGGAAGAGTCTAGATCAATATTTTCCAGGCAGAGAGGTTGTGCATTTTCTTCTTTATTTTTCACTTGTGGTTTCCTCCTCAAGAAAGAACTGAAGCTGCAGCGGTCTTTGCTTTGACAAGACACCCTGCCATTAATCAGAAGTGGGATTATTAAAGTGCCTCTTCCTGCTAGCAAAAAAAAAAAAAAAAAAAAAAAAATCCACTTACAGAAATACAGTTTATAAAATACAATTTGTAACTGTCTCACCTAAACAGCCTTTTTGGAGACAAACAACATTAGAGCTGGAACTGCCTCGCTTGTCACTTGCAGTAGCTCAGTGGGATGCCAGCTCCACAGTGCCTGTCTTTTGTCCCCCCAAGCTGGACAATGGGCTTTATGGGCTCAGAGGGACTCAGCTTAGGAGGTGGTGAGGAAAAGAGCAAAAAGTTCTGAGAAGAGGAATAGACTTATGAATGAGCAAATGAAGAGAAATAGACTGATAAAATGAAATTCAGTGCTTTCCACAGTTTCCTCTTCATCCCCAAGCCTGCATGAAATTCATGCAGGAGAACATTGTGCTGCTGCTGTCTACCAGAGATGGCAGATCATGTGCAGCATGGTCTCAGCCCATCAAATTTCCTTTTCTGGTGAAACACTTGGATATAGGTGTGGATTGGAGGAGATGGCATGCATAGGGAGTGGCTGGTGTGGGATAACACCCTCCTAGGCATGGATCTAATTCTTCATTTTCTTAGCAAGGAGAAGAATTCTATGAAAAAAAAACCCCAGTCTTAAGCAGGGGAGATTTTCTGCCATATTTAGAATCATAGAGTGTTAAGGGTTGGAAGGAACTTTAAAGATCCTCTAGTCCCAAATACCCTTGCCATAGACAGGGACACCTCCCACTAGACCAGGTTGCCCAAGGCCTTATCCAAACCTGGCCTTGAACACTGCCAGGGTTGAGGCATCCACAACTTTCCTGGGCAACCTGTTCCAGTGTCTTGTCACCCTCACAGTAAGGAATTTCTTTCTAATATGCAGCCTAAATTTCCTTCTTTCAATTTGTAGCCATTAGTCCTTGTCCTGTCAGTAGAGCTCCTGATGAAGAGTCCCTCTGGCTTCCTGGTAGTCCCTCTTCAGATACTGGGAGGTTGCTATGCGATCTCCATGGGACCTTCTCTTCTCCAGGCTGAACAGAACCAACTTTCTCAGCCTGTGTCAGGTCACATTAACTAGGAGAGGGAGCAGGTCTGTCTCGCTTCCCACTTCACACCAGGCACTGCATCTCCCATGTCCTGTTGGGGCCCCACAGCTCTGTTTGCCTCTGGTCCTGTCCTGCTGACCCCACACTCTGCTGCGGCTGCAAACAGTTCCCCTCCTGGCCTCTGGTTTTCATGAAAGGCACATGAAATACATCACTTCCTGGAAAAGTACTCCAAATACACTTGCCTTGCAATCATTTGATCCTTGATCCATAATTTCAGTTCATCAGTTAATTAATCATTTAATCAGTTAATAAGACTAATCACTCTTCCCTGGAAGATGCTCATGAGAACAGCCAGGATAAATTGCTCCCATCTGTTTCTCCGTTCCTGTCTCCCACTTCTCTGGCTTTGGGCTCGATGCTGGTGTTAGCAGGGCCATAAAAGAGGGACCCATTCCAGCACCTTAGATGTTCCAGTCCAAAACCTTCTCTGCCATCCATCTCCTCTGCAATTAGGGGCTTGGTAGAGAGCTGCCACCCCATGAGCTGGCACTGCATTGAGCAGCCTCCTCCTGCTGAGAGAGGATGATACACAGCTCAGGCAGTGTTACCAGGGCTTGACAGGTTTAAGTGTAGGAGAGCAAGTCCAAGCACCCAACCCATTAGGGGCCTTTCCTAGAAAATAGATTACCTCTGCTTTGAAAAAGCTTTGGAAAGCCTTAAGATGGGTTGCTTTCCAGCTTGTATGATGGTACATCCAATCAAAGAGGCAACTGAGGATTGGAAGACTAATGTTCACATTAAAACACTATTTTCCAGTAGTTTTTTTTCTCATTCTTATAAGAAATGTATCAAAAATAGACAGTTGGTTCCTTTTCCTCACTGAAGACCAAACACACCGTATGCCTGTGCCATATGCTTAGTCTCCACTGCCCCGTGCTTCTTGACAAACCCAGAAACGAAGGGAAATAGTCTTCAGCCTTAACACCTTCCCACTGCGGGGAACCCTGATGTTCACACCAACCTCTTCAGGTCAGATTCCTCTTCCACAGTCATTGTCATCATCTTTAAAGCAGCAAAACTTCCTGCTGGCTCCAGGGCTTTTGTTGTAACCGATTTTGGCCATGTATGAACTGGCTCATGCCCTGGACCGATGTTCACAGGCTGGGAAGCCCCCCTTCCTTCCCTGGCCTTGCTCTTTTCATCCCATCTTTTCCACAGCACTTTTATCTGCCTCCTCAGTCTGCTGTTCTCTCAGCCCAGGTGATTTGCTGCAGTGCTTGGCCTCCTTTCCAAGAGCTTCGGTCCTCTCGCTGTTGTCCTGGTTGCTGAACTATAAACCTGTCCTCTCGTGTGGTGGATGCTCACCAGATTTGTCAAGGAAATTCTTGGTTGGATTTCTAGGAAAATTCTTGATTGCATTTTCAGGAACCCTGGAAAAATGACCATGAAACAGTATTACTGTGTATGTGCAGTGAATCTGATTTTTAATTTGCTGTCTGTGCAATCTGGTGGGGCTGGGAGCAGGTGGCATCTGGCAGATTTGCTGTGTGTGTTCAGACCAGCCCTGTCTATCCAGTAAGGTCCACACAAGGAACGTGCTGACTTTATTGTTCTTGGTAGCAGATAGTGCTTTCACCGTGAGGCTTTTCCCCTCTTCCTCCTCCTGCTGTGCTGAGCTCTCTCTGGCTGCTGGGCTGGACAGTCTTGTCCTCACAGACAGACAGAAACAGAGCAAGGGCAGACC